TGCCACTGCTGCAGCCCCACAAGCGCCCGCCGCTTTTCAGCTTCATGCAGAGATGCAGCGTCCGCAGCGCCCACCCGGCACTGCATTCCAGCTACAGTCCCGTCGGGGTTGAAACCGGAGGGAAAGCCAGGTCCCAGCCTTCCCTTACCTCTTCTTGCCTCCTCTTCTTTTTCTCCTCGTCTTCCTCTTTTTCCTCCTCCTCCTCCTTTTCTTTCTCCTCTTTCTCCTTCTCCTCCTCCTTGTCCTTCTCCCTCTCTTCGCTCTCCTTATCCTCCCGTCCGAACCCTGCGCCGGGGCACACAGCGAGGTCGGCCGCTGCCCACACAGACCCGGCGGCCTCGTCCCACGGCCCCGGGGCTCCCCGCGCACTCACATTTCAGGATGGTCGACATGTCGCAGCGGCTCCCGGGCGCGAGGCCGTCACGGCTGCGGCGAGGAGAGAAGGGCCGAGTGAGCGGAGATGGGGCGACCTGCAAACCCGCCGGGAACGCGCGCGGGGTACGGGCATCTCCGAGCCCACCTCCAAATCCGTCGCGAGGAGATGGGAATTACAGGAATATTATGAGGGAAAGGAGGGCAAGTGCGTGAAGAAGGTGCCCTGGGGCTCTCAGGAAGCTGTGGCAGGAAGGGGACCCCCTCGGAGGAGCGAGCGGGGCGAGAGGAAGCAGGGATCAACAGCAGGAGAAGTCGGAGCGTTGGTCAAGGGCCTGGAAAGGTGACAGAGGGCAAAGAGTCTCCAAGGAAAGAGAGCGTCCTTCTTTAAAAACAGCAGGAGCAAAGCCCAAGAAATGTCAAAGGCAGCAGAGGGAAAGTGACGGGGCCCGGGCAGTGGGAAAAGTGGGGTCTTTCATCCCCTTCCAGAGGGGGCAATTGGGAAACAGCCTCTGCTCCTGCTGCTGGCAGAGGAGAGGGAAATGTTTCCACGCGATGCTCTGAAGGCCACGGAATGACCCAGCCTGCGCGGGCACCCCGGCTCTGAAGGGACGGGCGAAAGCACCGGCAGCGCCGAGTCAAGACCGCAGTAGGGAAAAGCAACCGGCCCCATCTCCATCGTTAGGA